GGCCATTGAAGCCATCAGGACCTAGGGCATGATTATTTGGTAGGTTCCTAATCACACCTTCAATCTCTTCTTGACTGAAGTCTGCATTCAAACCTTCCAGATTATGTTCTGAAAGTATATTACTAAGATTATAAGCCATACCAGTAAATTCAGAAACACCTAATCTGTGTTTGAAAGCTATGCACAGAAGATTGGCTTTTTGCTCATGATCTGTTACAATAGTGCCATTTGTATTAGAGAGGGAGACAATGAAATTTCTTTTGTGAGATATTTGTTGCCCATAGTGTGAAAGAAATGAGTATTCTCATCTCACACTATTTCTTTGCTTCCAGCAAGCTCTTTTGGACTCCAACAGAGTGGTTAGTTGGGTTTTGACTAAGATTCTGAAGGCAGATTCAAGTCTAGATAGGGGCCTTTGATCATCTAGGCCATCCAATAGAAGCATGACCCTATCATAATTATAGATGTGTTTACTCAAATTTGATAGTTTCTTACTCCAAGTTTTAAGGCCTGCTCTAACCTGTTTTAACCTAGCTGACAGATTTTTAGCTGCATTGGCAAAGAAGGGGGAGCTATTTCAATGAAGATTCACTGCTTTTAGGAAGCCTGGATGATCAACCCTGAAATTTTCAAACCTAAACATTTTAGATTTGGGAATACTACTTCCAATGTGAAGCACATAGGGTATATGATCAGATATAGGCCTTGGAAGAGGTTGTACAAATGTTGCAGGGAAGGAGAGTGTCCAAGTAGAAGAGGTGAAGACCCAGTCTAATTTCACCAGAAGAGGATCAGTTTGCATATTACTCCATGTATAATTTCTGCCACTGAATGGTATATCAACAAGATCTAAATCAGAAATGAGCTCATTGAACATGTTCATTTCAGTGATGTCACCACCAAGCTTATTTACATTTCCTGGGTTCCTAATAAGTTTAAAATCACCTCCAAGGACCCGGTCCTCAAATTTAGAATAGTCTAGGTTCATGAGCCTTGTAACAAATCCCTGTTTCTGTAGAGAGTTAGTAGGACCATAAATGTTTGTAACAAAAAAAGTTTTGTTGTCAAGCCTGCAAAACAATCTAATTGTGACTGCATAAGAGTTAGCTTGTACAACACTGCCATCAAAGAGATTGCTATTCTAGACAGGGAGGAGACCGCCTGAAGCACCAACAGAGGGGGAGAAGGCAAATTTATCCAAGTTTTTATGACGGAATTTTTTGATGTAGAAACTGTTAAAGCTCTCTCTTTTGATTTCATGTAAACAGAGAACATGGCAAGCATTTTCATTGATTTTGTCTCTCATTGCATCCCATTTCTCTTGACAATTGATTCTTCTAATGTTCAAAAAAGAATCTTACTAAATCTATTATTATTATTACCGTCCATTAAAACCATGCAGGGGAATTTTCATATGTTTGAGCAGCAAAGTGTCAAATAAGTGGGGACAATTAGGATTCAGATGAGAAATGCAAACATTTTGGCAGCTAACATTCTGAACATTGAGATCAACATCTAAACAATGATAGTAAACAAAAACATGACTAGCATCACCATAAAGAGAACATAACATAGAAACATAGTCTGAATAAGAGCTCCAAGAGGCGCTGTGAGACACCATGTATAGTGATACAATTTCTTATTTAGCCAGTACACACACTGGACCGAGGAGCTAGAGCAACTAACAAAATCACTATACAGCATCCCTAGGACTAGATAGTGCACTGATAGCCATAGCAGAGAGACTATTCATCTAAATCATCTTTCTCCAGGAGTGCAGCGAAACAGTCTCAGACTGCACCTGGAGGAAGCCTTGACCAATGCCTTCAAGGATCTCTCTAGGGAGATGAGGAGCAACATTCTTGCCAGGAGGAGGGATCATGGCAAGGGGCACTAGTTCACCAACATCTGCACATGTCTCCTTGAACTTTTTGACACTTTCTACATCCTTGAACCCTTCAAGCTTCTTTGAGAACCTCTTGCTCCTTCACAGAAAGCTATCATCAAGCTTTTCTTTTACCTTGATTGCCCTTTTCTTCCTTGGGGCCATGAAGACAGGGGGTGGTCCATCAAGTATTTCCATGTCAGGCCCTCCTTCTTCCTCTTCCATGTAGTCAAGGACTATCTTTTCTAGGGCCTGTCCACCAAGCTGTGGATGCAAAATGAAGGCAAGATGGACTAGAATGAGATCATCATTGAAGTAAGAGGGGATAATAATTTCATGACTGATGTCTAACAAAGTAAGATGCCTTAGAAAAATTGGAGAAGGTTTAGAGGGTATGAAATTAAGTACCTTTTTCAGGAAGGAGGGCACAACAGTGATGATAGGGTCAGCTGTAGTTGAGGGGCCAACAATGACTGATCTGAGAGCTTGTGGAGGACCCTGCACTACATTCAGAACTAGAAACATTGGAACTGAGGTGGTCCTGACCTCCTTCTCAACATTTCCAGCAACCACATTTTCAACAACATTCTTAGGATTGACATCATTCTGAACAACATTCGCAGCAACATCCCTTTGAACTTCTATCTGTAGAGCATTATCCTGATCTATCACTTCTGTGTCTTGAGGTGCCGGCTGCTGCTGCTAGTGACTTGGACCCCCCCTCCATCTACATTCATAGCGGTGGCATTGTTGGATTCTGTAGGGGTGGCATCTAAACTAGCAGGTGGTACAGGGCCCATCCAATGGGGGGCTGTGGGGGTTGGGGGTGCAGAGGCCCCACTATAACAAAAGCCTCTTCATCCTGAAGTTCAGTCACATTCTCCTTTAGAACAAAACATGGAATTGTCCAAAGATCTTCCTTTCTGAGGTAGGTCGGTGTTCACTTTTATAGAGTCAGGGATCTTAGCATCATCATTAAGATAGACTTTAGCTACAACCCTAGCAAGGTTCTCTGTATCATGCCAATGCACTAAAATGCCAAAACCTGAAACTGCCTTAGCAATAACAACTGCATTCTTCAGGTCCTCAGGAAAACCAACTAGTAACACCCAGGCAACATGATCCAGATCAAGGAAAGTGCATTTTTAGCTTCATCGTGTTTAATGATTGACATGGCATAGTTTCCAAATTTGAACACGGGACCAAGGAACCTCTCCCTCTCAAGTGAACTACTAAATCTAACATAAGCATCTCCTATAGCACATGGCTGGATTTCAGTAGTGCGAACCTGATGGACATCGTGGAAGAAGGTACGAAGTGCAGTCTTGAGATGCTCAAAATCCTCCTTGTGGACCGGCGGTTGAAGATTGATGATCGCCAGGTCTTCATTGTAGAGGGTGTAGCACCCGGTCACGCACACTTCATGGCGAAGCGGTGGACAGAGCACCGGATCCTCAAGCGTGAAGCCAGCGGGCATGTGCAGAAGCGGATCAACAACCTAATGGCCATGGGAGCGCTAGGGTTTTCTGCAGGGAGTGGCGTGGCGGTGGACTAGGGGGCGGAGGAGTCGAGATTGGGGGCTCAACAGTGTATATATTCTCCTTACGCGCCCCTTCGTCTTCCTAACGGGAAACCGGCTGATATTGTCGTTGATTACGCTGCTTAGAAAGTTAAACGGAGGATACGTGTCCGTAATTGAAGCAATGATTGCAGCGGACTGGTTGCATGCAATCTCTCTTAGAATGGCATGGACCTAGACAATTCAAGCAGGTTGGCGCTGTAGTTATTGGGCTCTAGATTGGGCCGAACGAAAATCCAGGGAAGAGCCCGTTGAGTTTGAATTCAAAACTTTGGCCTCCCTGGGCATCAATGTTGCCTGAGATTTCGCCGGCTTCACAATCGTGATTGATTTTTTATTTTTTATACTACAAAGGGAAGAGGGGAAGGAGTCAAAGAACGACTAAATTCAATGTCTAGAAAAAATAGCAATATATACTTATGCCACGAAGTTAACCGGGGATATTTAAATACAATCATCATAAGAGGCAAAGTTTAAATATATACCCCATTTGGCATAGCGCCACCACCTGCTCCTGGTGCTTTGTGGACCATTTTGTACCAAACGAGGTAAAATGGAACAACTCCACCCAAAGAGTCGCTCAAATCCTACCCTTACAGAATTTTGGGCTGAGATGAGCCAAAAATAGTGGCTTCACCAGGCTCCAACCCACGCCTACCGGCCCCATTAAATATTGATGTCAGATTTCCCCCACCGTGCGTGAGGAAGGGCATGGGCACAGCTCCCCGTCGGCCGTCAAGGGAAGGCACGCAGCGGCCACCATGGTGCGAATGGGGCACAACCATATGGAAGCGCCAGGGTATGTGGCCGCTGCAATGGGCACGTGGGTCATCCGGGAGGGCGCACGGCCACTAGGGAGAGGCACGCGAGCTGCCGAAATAGGGCGCACGGGCCACTGGGAGGGACGAGCGAGGTTGTTTAAGATACTGGGAGAAACTAGACGAGGGAGGTGTCGAGAGAAAGAAGAAAGAGAGAAGAAAAAAAGTAAAGAAAATAGTGAGGATTGAAGAGGAGTAACAGTACTGTAGACATTTTAGCATTTTCAACTACTATAATAAGGAGTTATTTTCTCAAACAGTTCATTAAAATAGCCCTAGCTCCACCTGGGGAGCTGTTCGTGGAGCTAGAGAAGAAAAATAGCTTCACTAGTGAAGTGAAGCCATGCTAAGTGGTACCGAATGATTAATATGGACCTACTGTGCTAAATTTAAATAAGAGATATTTTACAATGGTTAAAAAAATACTAACCATCTATTGAGAGACATCAATCGGTGTATAAAAATATGACATACCAACATGTGGCTAATCGTATAGAGTTTAAACTAATTTACATAATGTACAATTCATTGGAGCTTAGATCGTAGATAAACGGTCAAAGTTTTGTAGCTCATCACGCCGGACGGGATGGAAAGCACGCCAAAATGGTCCTCACCAAGTTCAACGCCCCTTTGCCAACGAAGTCAAACAAGACTGCACCATTCGTTGCACTGCTTCTTTGTAGTCTGTAGTCTCTACAAGCTGCCTGCCTGCCTATATATGTGGCTGCTGCAGGGGAAGAAGAAGGTCGAGCACACATTCAAGAAGATCAAGCAGACGGTGTCCTATGCCTCCGAGGTGACAGCGTTCGTCGAGAAGGGCAAGCTAATGAAGATCATGGGCGTGAAGACCAAGGAGCTGATGCTCTGGCTCAGCGTCGTCGAGGTCTATGTTCCCGAGGCCTCGCCGGACAAGGTCACCTTCAAAACCGGCACCGGCCTCTCTGACACCTTTGATGCTGCTGCCTTTGCGCTCGGAGAATAATCTAGTTCAAGTTAAAAGTACTACGTTGCTGGTGCTGCACGGCCGTGTGTATTTATCTCTTGTTTTGTAACCAAACATGTATGATGTATCGTGTGTGTGTGAGTTTGTACTGTACTGTGGAGTATTTCGCAATTTTTTGATTCCGTATACAATTCAGTGAATTCTCGTGTTCCCATCGTATATAGAATCTCCGTGTTGGATGAGTATATGACCTGGTTGAATCGGACGGACCATATAATAAGTTAATAACCCCTCGCATCCACGGAACCCCTGACCAAACGCTCGCCCATCGAGCAGCATGGCCGTGCCACCATCACCACGCAGACCACGCTGGCCGCCGGAACTGATGGACGTGGAAGGGATCCTCCTCCGCCTCCCGACGGACAAACCCGCGTGCCTGTGCCTCGTCCGTGCCGCCCTTGCATGTAAGCGCTGGTGCCGCCTTATCATTGATCCTGGCTTCCGGCTCCGATTTCACCAGTTCCACTACACGCCCCCATGCTCGGGTTCATCATCTACAGCCATGCACCTTCCACTGCCACCCGCTTCTTGCCTACCTCCTCATTCCGCTTTCGCCCTTATGACACCGGCTGCTGAAGCTAGTCTCCCCTCTGAAAAATCCTTCCTAGACCACAATCGACCCTGGCTAGGCCATGGCCATCCATCAGCCAACAACAGCCGGCCTTGGGCAAGCCACAGCTGGCCCCTGGCTAGGCCACACCCGCCCAGCAGCCAGCCACGGCTGGCCCCAGGCAGCCAGTAGTCGGCCAGGGCACGACAGCCTCCGCCAACCACAGCTAGGCATGGCCAACCCAGGACGGCCAGCAGCCAGCTGTGGCTGGCTGGATGCGTCAGCGAAGATCAGCTTCCAAGACGTAGTCTGGTATATGGAAGAGATCGCCCAGGAGGATACGCGGACGCGGCACTGTGCGTATTTTTCCGCGCTGGGGTTGGGTTTCGGAAGTGCCAAAGGATTTGAAGGGGGGGGGGGGTTTGAGAGTTGTTGGAGATGTTTTTTTTTTCAATCTTGCTAAAAGTACTAGATTGGGACAGTGTTTTAGGAACTCTTGGAGATGCTCTAAGCGCGCAACATGCCCAACATTATGTTGCTATATAGACATATTATTTTGTATTGTTAAATACTTTAAGTATTTACTCGCAAAAAAATACTCATAAGTATTAATTTTAGTATTGTCCTGGTTGAGAATGGAAGTGTTAATGTTTTAGTATTTTTCCTTAGAGAATGGAGCTCCGATGTCGATGTTGTAACATTATATTGCTCTTTGATGTTTTAGTTGATTTCCGATTTTCTTATAGACTCCGAGGACGGCTAAAAGAAGTATCGAGAAAAAAATAGCAAAATTTACTTATGCCACTAAGTTAATCGGCGATTTTTAAATACAGTCGTTATAAAAGGAGAAATTTAAATATATTATAGTGAACCGGTATACTGATTGGGAATTTAGAGTAGTGGACCCTGTTTTCAGTCAAACTGAGACAAGGCTAAATTTAAATAAAAATTTTACCTCAAAAAACAATTAAATAAAAATTATAATGGTGGAAAAAAATACTAACAATTTATTGAGAGAAATCGAATGGTGTAAAAAAATGAGGTACCAACTTAGCTACTCGTGTAGAGTTTAAACTAATTTACAAGTAGCTAGAGATACGTAGAGAAACGGTCAAGTTCGTAGTTCAGCATGCCGGACCTGAAAGCACACCACAATGGTCCTCGTCTAAGTTCAACGTGCTTTGCCAACCAAGTCAAACAAGACTGCATGTACGTTGTCTTGCAGTGCTTCTCATCGGTCTGTAGGCTGTCTGCCTATATATGTGCTGTTGCTCCATCTCCCATCACACAAACACATCATCACTCTCAAGAGCAACCAGCTACAGTCTCTTTTCTTGGCGCTACTCACAGCTCCACTTGTAAACCATGGCGTCCCAAGCCATTAAGAGCCACCGCGCCAGTGCAGAGGTTGTCACCGGGGACGCCGCGTGCAGGAAGAAGTCCGTTGAGCTGCTGGAGGAGCTCGGCCTCCCCAAGGGCCTGCTTCCAATGGAGGACATCCAGGAGTTTGGGTACGACCGTGACACGGGGTTCTTGTGGCTGGTGCAGGGGAAGAAGAAGGTAGAGCACACCTTCAAGAAGATCAAGCAGACGGTGTCATATGCCTCCGAGGTGACGGCGATCGCCGAGAAGGGCAAGCTGAGGAAGATCACCGGCGTGAAGACCAAGGAGCTGATGCTCTGGCTCAGCGTCGTGGAGGTGTATGTTCCCGGGGCCACCCCGGAGAAGGTGACCTTCAAGACCGGTACCGGCCTCTCGGACACCTTTGATGCCACTGCCTTTGCGTTCGGAGAGTAATCAAGCAATGTAATCAGCAAATTGCGTTGGTTAGCTCGTGAAACATATATATGCGATCGAGCCATGTCATCTCAGTTCAAGTTCAAGTACGTTTATATTTTCGAATATATTTATGTTTTCTTTTGTATGGAAAGTTGTAAACGGAAACATGTATGATGGATGCATCGTGTGTCAAGAGTTTTCGAATATATTTTCGAGCGTTTTCGAATTCGATTCGATATAGAATTCAGTGAACTTTGTCAGTCAGACTCGTATTCCAATCGCATTGCCAATAAAGCCTTTCGGGATTTGAATTTCGGCATAAACCTTGGATCCGCTCGCGTTCAGTGAGATCTGTCAGACTCATATTCCCATCATCTCGTCCCTTTCTATAAAATAGCACATTAGCACTGACGGAACCCTGCTGACCAAACCCTCTCTTTTGCACCGATCTGACCCGCGGCCAGCGTCGAGCAGCGTGGCCGCGTCACCGCCACAAAGCCAGCCGTCGGTACTGATGGATGAGCTCGTGGAAGAGATCCTGCTCCGCCTTCTGTCGGACAATCCGGCGCAGCTCGTCCGTGCCGCCCTGGTCTGCAAGCGCTGGTGTCGTCTCATCACGGATCCTGGCTTCCGGCGCCGATTCCGCCAGTTCCACCGCACGCCCCCCATGCTCGGGCTCATCGTCCGCCGCCGTTCACCTGCCACCACCACCCGCTTCTTGCCCACCTCTTCCTTCTACCCGTATGATGCCGGCTGCCGCACCTGGTCTCCCCTGGACGCCCGGCATGGCCGCATCTTGTTCTACTACAAACCCGACCGGAGTAAACCTGCAAGGAACGAGCTCAACGTTTGGACTCCGGCCACCGGTGTGGTGCACAAGCTGCCCAAGCTGTGGCTCCCTTGCTCTCTCTGTTCCTATTGGAACGCCGCGTTGCTCTGCGGAACGCCGGGCTGCAACCACATGGAGTGCCCATCAGATGGCCCCTTCACAGTGGTTTTGGTGGGCGGAAATATATTCAGCAGGTTCTCTCATGCTTACGTCTACTCTATTGAGGATCCTAGGTATGTTGAGCTACATTGCACTTACAGTGCCCTTGTTGGGAATGCGCTCTACTTCCGCCCAAGGTGGAACGTACAATGGAATCCTGGAGTACGATTTGGCCAAGAAAGAACTATCGGTTATCGGGCTACCGCCGATATGCAAAGTGTCTACCGTTCTTGTGCTCATGTCAATGGAGGATGATGGGTTGGGATTCGCCATGGTGCATGATGATTTCTCTCTTTGCATATGGTTGAGAGAGTCTGCTCCGACTCCAAGTGGTGGATGGACATGGACGTGGCATAGAGTTGTTGACCTCAAGAGTTTTCTCCCTGTTTCTGCCCTCTCATCCTCACCTTACATCGTTGCTGCCGCAGATGTTGCCGGTGTTTTTGTCATTAGGGCTGGTCGTGATGATGGCGTCTTGGCTATTGATCTCAAGTCTGGTCAAGTAAGGAAGGTATCTGATGCTGATGGCCACATGGTAAATATTATTCCCTATATTAGTTTCTGCACTCCAGGTAATTTCCTCACGTGTCCCAGGCAATCTTGAATTCTGTACTGTTTTAATTTCTATAGGTTTGCCAGTATTTCACTTATTAGTAGCATGCATGGATATGGACAATGGTATATTTGTACAAAAATTGTCATTTTTTCAGAGTAAATTATTGCAATATAACATAAAGTTGTGCTAAATTTTCTTTTTGTTATGGATCATTGGATTCGTAAAATTGGTTATATCTATCAAGAAACATGTTCGCCTGTTAGGATCTGTTATGAAGGATGAGCTGGGAGACTAAAATTGCCAGCACCTACATGAACATTGCTAATCTCTATGATCTGTCAATTCGGTATAATAACAATATAAGAATTTAGGATGATATATTATGCTAAGTAAACGCAGATGTTTTTTCTGACTTTTTTTTTTGAGATGGGAGATGTTTTTCTGAATTATGAGTCAGTCTTCTTCCAATAAAAAAGTGTTGTTGGCTGGTCGTTAAATGATAGGAGATGCATACAATAAGTCAGTATATATTTGCCTGCTTTTTTTCTAAAGCAATTTGTTGGTCTGTGTGTTTGGTTTTACTAGTTCCTCGAGTGCAGATTATTGGTTTGACAACCAATGTATTCATATTTAGAAAATTTGTGTATTTCTGCAGCATTAAGAGCAGCCGCCATCGATGAGGGGCCAACTATGGGTGCTTCTAATAATACATGAAAAAATGGATGGTAATCCTGTATGCTGGCCTTTAGGGTTTCTGTGTTTTGTTGAAGCATCTTGTTTCTCTTAAACTTGTTATCAGATTCATTGTTGGGAACAGGTTTTGACCAGCCTGCCTGTCTATATAAGTGTACATCAGTACTCGCTTTGAACGAATTTCTCAAAAAAATGTATACTTTGTTTGTTCCAATATCTTATCTAGTTCTCAAAAAATTATATTCTAAAGAAAGTGTGTCTAATAAATTAAAATCTAAAATGTACGCCCGGTTGTTACATAAAATTAGTTTTATTTGGTTCAACATCTTGTACATATTACATGAAATTGCTTGAAGGTAACCAAGCCTCAATAGCTCCATGTAATAGTTTTGTAATGCCGGATCCTAGAACGA